CAGCCTCGCGAAGTTTTTCCTCCACTGCCCTCCAACTTGCATTCCTGGCTCGCTTTCCTGCACCGCTCCAATTGTCCAGAAAGGCAATCTGGGTCGAATAACTCTGGCTCATCACTAGTCAGCATGGTGACCGGAATCACCAAAATGGCGAAACCATCGCCATTCCTTCAGCCTGGCCCTAGGACGTCAGCCAATTCCATCGCAATTGTGCAGCTCTCTCGCGACAACCTCGTTCCTCTCATCCTCCAAGATTCTACCGGTGCGGTCGACGGCTATGCCGAAGGAGCAGTGCTCAACACACGATTCGGCTCATTTCCCCACTCCACCCTGATCAATGTACCGTGGGGGTCGCAAATTCGGGCCTCAATTGTTGACACTGGCTCCAGAGGCCGCAAGCGCAAGAGGAAGGAAGAGGAAACGGACGCATCAACACCAGCAGCAGGAGACGAGGCCGAGGCGGAATCCAGCGCACCAGTCAAGAAGGCGGCCACTGCCGCGAGCGGCTTCGTGCACATCCTTCAGCCTACCGCCGAGCTCTGGACCGCGGGCCTGCCGCATCGAACACAAGTCGTCTACACCCCCGACTATAGCTACGTCCTGCAGCGCATACGAGCGAGACCCGGTACCCATATTATCGAAGCTGGCGCAGGTAGTGGCAGTTTCACTCACGCTTCGGCGCGTGCGGTTTACAGTGGATACCCCGAAGATGACTCTCAACGAAAGGGCAAGGTCTTCAGCTTCGAGTTCAACAAGGATCGCTATGTGAAGATGCAGGAAGAGATCACTGCGCACGGGCTGGAAGGCATCGTGAAGCTTTCGCATCGAGATGTTTACAACGGCGGGTTCCTGGTGGACGGCAAAAGCCCCGAGGCAGAGTCGGTGTTCCTCGATTTACCCGCGCCCTGGGAGGCCCTCCCCCACCTGTCACGACGAAAGCCAGCGACGAAGGACACGGAAGGCGAGACACAAGAATGGGTTTCTCCGCTAAATCCTAAGAAGTCGGTCTATATTTGCACCTTTTCTCCTTGCATCGAGCAGGTACAAAGAACGATCAATACAATGAGACAACTGGGATGGGTGGATATCGATATGATTGAGATCTCCCACAAGAAGTTCAACGTCATCCGAGACCGTGCTGGGTACAGCCAGCCTGACCGCGGTATCGCTGCGAGCGCACGCGATGTCGGCGAGGCAGTCGGCAAGCTTCGAGAGATCGAGAGAAGAACGAGAGAGTACCACAACCCGGCAGACCCCAACTCAGCGGACGACTCACCGGCGGGCAACGCTATGGATGTGGATCAAGCGGGAGAAGCTACGAATGGCGATGAAGAAGAAGGACCCTTCGCGGGCAAGCCGTGGTTGCAGGGACGCATTATCCACCGCGCGGAGCCGGAGCTGAAGACGCATACCTCGTACCTTGTTTTCGCCGTGCTGCCGCGTGAGTGGAGCGAAGAGGATGAAGCCGCCGTGCTTGCAAAGTGGCCGTGTGGCTCAGAGACTGGTGTTATTGGTGCTAAGGATAAGGAGACGCGCAAGCAGGAGAAGCGTGATCTCCTCGCGGGCAAGGGCAAGAGAAGAAAAGGCAAGTCTGGAAAGGCTTAAGCTGCCTTAACGAATTTGTAATGGTTGTTGACAATCACTGCAAGTGGTGACGAGAATGGCAGATACCCTAACATCAGTGTCGGGACATTCCAGGAGTATGGTGGTAATTGACGAGTCAAGACGATTGCGTCTCCCTTTCTTATGGAAGCTTACCGTGATTGTGTGCACAATGATTTCCGATCCCAGCGCCGCTCTTTGGACGCGATGCAAACGACAATCCTGGCATGAACGTGAAGTCTATTCTCTATTCAACATGGTGCTCAGTCCTTGGCTACCATGGCTTCGGGCTGTCTCCCCTTACCCTCCACCAAAACTCCAGCCTTTCTCAAAATATCGACCGTGTTGTTCACAACCTCGGGCTTGACACCCTCGACGCCATCAGTAAACTTAACCGTCTTCAGCCACTCCCTAGCATCCGCCTCAGAGTAATCCAGATGAGTGCTGATGTACTTGACAGCCTCGTCCTTGTTCTCGTTAAAGTGCTTCACGCCCTTGTCAAGCTTCTCAAACAGGTCCTTGATTCTCGCGTCGAGCTTCTGCCCTTCCTTGGCCAGCGCCGTCGAAGCGACAATCTTCCAGCTGCTCCAGGGCGTGTAGATCTCACCGACGCGGCGAATCTCACCCGAGTCGTAGTAGCGCTTGGAGGTGAAGTGCTCCCACATGAAGAAGTCGGCAGCGCCCGAGTTGACGGCGTTGCGGAGGTTCTCAAAGTTGTTGAGAATCACCGTGTCAGAGAACGGTGCCGGGGTGGATGGGGCGAGCCAGCCGTGCTGGTCAGCGAGGACGAAGCCCATGATCTGGCTGCCGGAGCCGATGCGGGAGACGCCGATCTTGCCACCCTTGAGGGAGTTTACTGAAGTGATTTCGGGGCGCTTGGCACCGGTTGAGATGGCCCAGCCTTTTGGTTTCAATGTCAGTAGCTTTCTGAGAACTTGGCCTTATGAACCTACAAAGGGGCGTGTCAACGTAGGTGCCGACGAGACGGTAGCCGCCATCTCCAGGGGCGTCTTCCTTGCCGAGGCCGGCGATCCAGCCTTCTGTCAGACCAATACCAATATCGATCTCGCCGCCACGAATGGCCGTGATCATGTGTCCCGTTCCGGAGGGGAAGGGAACCAAGGTGGCATCCAGGCCGAAGTGCTCCTTGGCAAAATAGAGGGGCGTGGAGAAGTGCTCCGGCACGTAGCCAATTCTGAGAGGTGAAGCCATGTTTGATGAAAAAACTGAGAAGAGGATGAGTCGATGAGTAAAAGATCAGGTCTGTGATGAGTTGTAAGACTGAAGGAGTAGAGCGGAAGCGGAACTTTCGAGAGTTGCGAACTCTCGGGCCGGGACGAGTGAAGCGGCCGATGACTGTACAGTGACTGAGTGAGTGCGGGGTCCTTTCCACTGCTTTCCAGGCTCTGCGTGTCAGCGCCGTGGTCCGTCCACCGGTGAAGAACTCAGCGGGGCCGCAGTGGGACGTCCGGCGCTACCCCCGGGGCGGCCTCAGTCTTTTCCACTTCTCAGCTGATTCAAAATCCAATTAATTCTTTTGAGTGAAAGGAAGTCATTTCTTAGCCGTAAAGGACCTCTATCACGACAAGTTCCTTCGGTATCACCCGAAGGAATTACACGCTTGACACTTACGCTCGCGGAGCTTTGGATGTGAAGGTTTTCGGTTGGAAATTAGAGGCTGCGACGATGAACTTAGAAATACTTGTCTTGGCAGCCAACAAGTGTCAACGGCATTCAATTATTCATGCCGGCTACATAGCTTGTATTCATGCGAGTTGAATGAATGCGCATTATTATGTCAATACCTGCTTCCGAACACATTTTCACCCTGAATGATTTCAGCTTCAATTTTTTCAAGTTCTGAATCGTTTCTGCAACCGCAGACTTCTTATCTGAGACTGAACTCTTTGTTGCCAAAGCTAACAGTAGATTGGACCGTCGGGTGTGCTACCTAGGCGTATACTGGTCTTAGCCTTCATAGGCCTAGTTCCGCTACTGGCGGCGGTTGAGGCTGATATACAAGCAACATTTCGATGATGACCTGGTTATTGGGTCAGTCACCATGCAAGCCTTCCCAGATCTGATCATAGTCAACACCCGTAGATTGAATTCACCGCCCTCAAAGCTCTGGCGGGCGATAGTCTTCCACGGAGGCTACTCAGACATCTTCATTCTGGCATACTCAAGAAAGGCTTCAACCATGAGTGCTCAGATTCTGAGAAAGTAAGAAGCAGAATAACGCAAATGTAGCGCAGATCCAGTAACAGGGCTCATTTTCCACCAGTGACATTTGTCTTTCTTGGCAGCTTTTAAGCATAATCACTATTATCCGTTACATATCGCTTTTTATCCATTTTAGTATAACACATATCACCATACTCTAGAAAGATTTAGGTGCCGTTTTTGTAACCAGCACAAAGGTGAAACCACGTCGTCCATGAGCCCTGGCTAGGGTTGATAAGGGTGGAAAAAGAAAGCTTTGCTGAGTTCAGCCATTCATCTGCATCATTCTCCACGTGTGTCCATGTCACATCAAGGACTGGAGAGACCGCAAATGTAATCACAACAATGCTTTGCACCCATTCCTAAGCCAGAGAAGCTGTCATGATGTGCAGAGAACGTTCAGCTACTTCCAAGTCCATGACTGGCATCCAGAACAAGCCACGTCTCCCGGTCATGGTCTGTTCAGGTAGTCTACGATCACTCCTCTACGTCCACAGCTAGCAACTTCCCCTTTTCACGCTCTTCATTGACGTAGTCTCGAACTCGCTATGCCTTAGTAAAACAAAACGGGAAACGTAAACGGCCAGTCACGTGTTTTCTTCAGCAGCACCAAGATCGAGTCGAGTTGTGGATTGCAATCTTCGCAAAAAAAAACCACTCCCCACTTGACAACGATTTGACAGCAGCAAATTTATCTCATCACGAACACCCCAAACAGCTTGATGGCAATGCAAAATGGCGATCCTCGCGAGAGACAGGATGAGACTGCCGACCTAGGGCAATATCTCTCAGATGCCTGGGGACCATGTCTTTGCGAGCCGACTCCTTCCACAATCGGCTGCCATCATACGAACATCTTCGGTCCAAGATCCGCCCCGGGAAGGCCTCAGCTCAAGAAGGGCCAGGAGAACAACGTCCTCATCTACTCTGGCTGTTTCAACCCGCCGCACCTGGGCCATTATAAACTCCTCCGACGAGCATTCGAAGGCAGCCAAGACCTCAACGTGATCGCCGCCGTCGTATATCCGGTCAGCACCAGAGTACTGGAACGCAAGGCCAGAAGGAGACAGCAATGGCTCATGTTCGATATGGCCGACCGCATACGACTTTGGCACGGCGACTCGAGTGAGCCTCAGTAGTACTGGGCTCACGACGGTGGCAGGGCCAAGTTTGAAGACATGTGGAGTCGTGTTCTGGAAGCAGTCAAGCGAGACGGTTTCGATCTCAAGTTCATTGAGGTAGCTGGACCAGATCACGTCGTGCCCACGCGTGTATACGAGCAGTTTGGATGGGATTTCGACATCTACAGAACCATCTTGAGCAATGCAGGAAGAGAGTTTGATCTTCTTCAGCCTAGAGGGCAGCTCGAGAGAATGCGTGGATATGGGTTCTGGGAGGACGTCATCGACTTTACCAAAGCCACGAACCCGATAACCGACAATACAAACTCGGAGCACGAGATAGCCGAGGAGAGAGCCATTGACCGCAAGTCTCGCTTCACGCTACTCTTACCTCCATCGACTGTTGGGGCAACTGAGCAGCCACATGAAAGTAGGTGGACCAGTTTAGCAACTAAGAGTACGAAGACACACGCTAACAAACATATGTATCAGAGGATGATCGCGTCGAGGACGCGGACAAAGAACTAGTCACAGTCACCGACAATCTCTCTGGAACACACATATCAGCAGATGGTTCTGATGCATACGAGAAGGTGGTACACGGTAGCGACATCGTTCCCGAGGGACGGAAAATCAAAGTCTGCCAACGGATTGGGGACTCGGAAACCTGGGTTCGCTTCGTTCCAGCGGATGCCCCGCCCTTGATATTCAGCTCAACCAGGATTCGGCGTATTCTGGAAGGAGGCTTTCTGCAGGATGGGAATCTGGGGGGAACCAGTTGGACGCGAAGCATGCTGGAGGATGAGGCCATTGATAGTGTCAAGGAGATGGTCCTGCATCCGGAGGTGCTGGCAAGGATTATGCTCCAACGACATGGAATTGAAAGGCTTGATGAAGCTTGACGGGGAATCGAATTGGCATGATGAAGCAGTCAGTGGACCTTAACAGGCAGAGTTATCGAAGTCTCTCCTAGCAAAACTTTGGTTGAACGTCCACAAAATGGCACTAATTTCTTTTGAGATAGCTCTTCCCTGGAATTCATGACATTGCTATGAGAATGTGTTGACCATGCTTCTCTTTGGGTTTGGCTTCTCCATGCACATAGACAATGAAATTGTTCTCGCTAGTGACAGGCTCTTTTATTCACACATTTGGAATTCATTTTCGCCCTTCTGAGTACTGACCAAGATCAAATTTGCATCTCAGGCAGATCAAAATACACTTGTAGGCAAAGCCTGTCCCGAAGTCAAGTCCATACGAAAGATCCAACTAACCAGTCAAGCTTTTCAAGTAAGTAGACCATGGGAGGGCCACGAGCTTGTCTCAACTAATCAATGCTGCTTTTCTAGCACTTATCTGCAGCAGATTCGCCCATCCGACGTTTTACGAGGTTGCAAAGATATCGCACAGAACTCGCCTGCATCAGATCTGACAACAAAGGAGCAGCGGCGAATCCCATAGCACTAGATCAGTCAGGTTATAAGATGACATGTGACCTATTAGATTCCTTGCGTTCAATGGCTTATCACCACCATATGAGGAATTGGAAGCCTCGAATACTAATTGCGTGTCCCGCACGAAGCAGGCGTAACTACTTTACTTCAGATATTTCTAGTATCGTCACAATATTCTACGTAGCAATATTAGCATGCTCGCTCGATTTGCTGACGCCTTCAAAATAGGGTAACTCACATGATACATCATCCTAAGGTCCATAGCAGTGGCCATCCTCAACAACAACACGGGATTAAAACGACTGGGACATTCCCGTCTACCCCGGGCTCACATGATTGGCTTCTCCGGCAAGGCTTCGTGTTGGTGAAATGGGTAAACCTGTCATGGGCAATGTCCTGCAGTAGCGTTATCAATAGTCACCAGCTGAAAGCCAGAAGCGGAAATAGTAAGAGACCAGCCCTAGTCGACGAGCTAATTAGCAGCCCTACAGTTTTGGGGTACTGGCAACACATAAAGGGAGGACCCTGCCGATGAACACCATCTACTGATTGTGCATGGGCTCCCCTTGTGTTTGCCTCAATAGCCGCGGCCTTCGTCCCAACAATGACGGCAACCATGCCTTCCGTGCCGCCTTTGCCGGATCAGCAAGACATTGCTGAATTCAGCTACCTCAACGACAAGGTAATCCTGCCCTCGGCATCAACTCACATCAGACTTCTCGAACTCTATCCATCGACACACGGATTTGACGCCGCATCCGCATCCGCGTCCGGAGCACCCAGTAATACGGACGAAGGTGATTCTGACAACGCGTCGTCTCACTACTCGAGCCCTCTCAGGTGCGCCCTCTCGACGACCCCGATCGCCACGCCGCGGCTATACAAAGCGCTGTCATACACCTGGGGTACGTCGGGAGCAACTCACAGCATTGACATCGAGGGTGTGAGCTTGCCCATCACGGCCTCGCTCGACACCGCGCTGCGGCATATTCGTCGTAAAGATGAGTCCGTCACGCTCTGGATCGACCAGATCTGCATCAATCAAGAGGATGGTGCGGAGAAGGGAAACCAGGTGGCCCTCATGACCCAGATCTACACCAAAGCGGAACAGGTCATCGTCTGGCTGGGTCCGGCAGAGAACAACTCCGATGCCCTCATGGAGTGTTTGCAAGAGATTGGACAAGAGGCTGCTGACTTAGCCATCGAGAGCTATCTCACCAAGGAACGATTGCCGCTGCTGCACAGTATCATGAGAAACGAGAACCCAGAAGACTCAGTGACTATACAATATCGGCCTCTAATGGTCAAAGCCGTGGCCAAGTTCAGACCCCTCTTACGCGAGATGATTGCCTGGAACGAGAGATTGTGGTTCACTCGGGTCTGGATCATCCAAGAGCAAGCTCTCGGTTCCGACCCATTCTTCCTCTGCGGGTATAAGACAGTAAGACTGGACCTGATGCCTCTCGCTACTCTCGTCTGGGACGGGTGCATATCAACGCTCAGCGTGCCGACTGAAACCAGCGAGTTCAGGCAGCTTCTTCTCAAGGCCCAACAACGTCGCTTGAGTCCTTTGATGTCCTTAAGACGTAGGCGCCGGAACTTCGTTAAGGGCATAGGCCCGGGAGATGACTTCTATTACGTCTTGAAGAAGGCGTACGTCGATGGAGATGCCCAAGTGACAAAACTTCGAGACAGAATCTACGGGTTGCTGAGTATTGCCAATGATGCGGATAAACTAGGGATTACCCCAGACTATGTCACCGAGGATAGCCGACCCACCTTCATCGACACAGCTCACGCTCTTATTCGTGTCGGCCGTCTAGAGATGCTCTCATTCTCACAGTTCCCAAAGGATATTGAAGGGCTACCATCCTGGGTTCCGGACTGGAGGCCGACTCTAGAGCATTCTTACTTGTACGCATTTGAAGATGCAGACCAGCACATTTTGCAGGCTTCAGGCGAGACCTCGACTGAGCTTGTGCCCACGGACGACCGCGGCGTGCTCGGGATTCGTGGTATCATCGTTGACACCATCGAAACAACAGGCGACGCGTGGAGGTGGGAACAAGATCGAGAATACCGCTACAAGCTTCTCCAGACGATCAAAAGCTTGTGTGAGGAGGCAGCTGCAAAGGGGTTTAGCCACGAGATTTACGAAAATAGTGACAGACAGGCGGAAGCCATGTGGCGGGTGCCCGTGGCAGATCTGTACTGGAACCAAGGGGCTGTCTACAGGTACCAACGACCCGATCCAGCCGTCAGAAGCGACTACGAGGACTGCATGCATTGCCACAAGATGCTCTCCCTGACGTTCGAGGTCTTTCCCCCAGAGGAACGCCAGCAGCTTTTGGACGATTTCAGCAGACGAATTCCGGGGCAGTCTAACTACAGTGAGAATATGGACAAAATGACTGGGAAGTGCCCATATATGACGCGGAAGGGATACGTGGGCATGGGTCCGGGCGAGGCATGCCCGGGCGACGTAGTGGTGATACTGTTCGGCTCTCGGATCCCGTACGTCCTGAGACCGTCCGGAGACGGGACGATGTATTGTTTCGTAGGGGAGGCATATTGTGATGGAGTCATGGACGGCGAGTTGTTGACTAAGCGGGAGAAGACGACGTTTCTGATTGCTTGAGTCGGCTGGTTGTCCATTCACAAGAGGAGAGGAAGAGGAGGGGGAGAGGACACGTCTGAGAGTTAGATGGGAGGCACAGAAGCGCTCGAGCAGCAAAGTTTTGTTTTATCTGGGGAACTCGTCGAGTGTTTCCTCTAAAGGTGTTCTGTTCGACCGTCCGATCTCTATGTGAAAAGTCTATGGAAAGAAAAGCCAGTTCCCCCAATGCCCGCCGTGATGTGATGGTATGAATACAATCCGTGAGATACATCGATGAGAAAAATGAGAGATAAGGAGAAATAGTCAGGTAGAGACTGAAGGGTATTTCAAAAAAGTGAAAAAAGAATCCAATTTGGAATTGTGCGCGCTGCTTTTTTTGCACGCTGATGAGATATGCTGCCCCAAAAATGATTAAACTCCTTTCGCTCGGCCAGAGCGGAAATATTGCCAGAAACATCCCAGACATTCGTCCGGCGCTATGAACATTGAAGCATGAACAGTGAGCCAACCCTGGCCCAAGACTGCGCAAGTACGAATCCGTGTGCGAAATTGCGTACTGCGATGAACCCTGCGATCGAGACGCAGACAACTCGTTTCCCAAACAGTCCCTCTCTCTTCTCTCCTCCGCTGTGCCGTGAACTTGCTCAGTGGTCGTTGTAGTCCTCGTCTCTCATGGTGTACATGATGTCTTGGATAACGACCGCCCTGATGTGGTGGTACAGAACGAAGCAGTAAGCTCCTAGTAGACAGACACTCATTCCTGTTGCGAACCATTTCACTGCCTCGTTGCCCAGTTGGTTGGCGATGGTGATGGTGGCAAGGGTGAAACCTGTGTTGGGGAAGACCATGGCCCACCAACCCAAGTGGAAGTAGACAGGTGGCGATGAGATGACGGCGATGGTAGCGATACCGAACCACCAGGCAGCCAGAGCCCACAGGAAGATGGCGCTCATGAGAGCAATGGTCCTGATAATGCCAGCGTCGATGATGATTCCATCGCGGTCGGGGTCGAGGTTGTTGGGGAGGCCGTTAGCCATGCCGATGAGAGCGAGGGCAGTGAAGGCCGGGGGTCCGACGTTCATGAACAGACCAGGGCGATGCTCGCGGTGGGGAAGGCCTGCGGACATAAGGCGGCCGACCATGTGTGCGTACATGAGAACGGCGACGGACAGACCAAGACCCTGGCAAGTGAGGCCGGCAACGACGATGGGCACCGCCGCGATCTCGGGCTGGGTATCGGCAATGACTGAGGCAATGGTACCAGTAAGCATGATAGGGAAGATGGGAAGAATCCATGTCGGCATCATGGTCTGGAGGCCGAAGTTGTGCCTGGCGAAGACGAAGCTGTACTGGCCGATGGCCAACATGAGCGTGACGATGAGGTAGCCCCAGAAAGCGACCTGGATGGCCCAGACGAGGGTCTCATCGTTCTCGGGGATGGCGTATCGGTTCGTGCTGGTGATGAGCGTGGCGATGGACAGGAAGAAAGTTGGGAAGAAGAAGCCCTCACGCTCGTGGGTCAGGGACTTCTTCATGTCTCCGGGGTAGAGGAAGAATCTTGTCAACATGGCAGAGCAGACGAGAACGAAGAGGATGATGTTGATGACATAGACGACGGTACCGATTTGCCTCAGTCCGGGGAACTGATGCGGTTGTGCGAAGATGAGGAGCGCGAGACCACCCGTGCTCATGGTGAGGGTGTACCACGCCCAAGTGAAGTGGTGGATACGCGCCTTCCAGCCCATCCTCGGGCGGTTGGGATCGTTGATGTCAATCATTCCAAGGCCGGGAACATCGCGAAGGTGGCTGTGAGCGGCGGCGTGAGGTGTTG